ACAGCAACAACACACACAGGCCCATGTTTTTCTATCATTAAAGACGACTGAAAACATTATCGGTTATTTCAGGGGGAAAAATACAACTTTTTAGTTCATTTCATACAGATGAAAGCAAATTACAGCAAATCACCTCTCCACTGAATAGCGGCCCCCACATAATGACTTTATTTGCTTAATCCCCAAATTAAACGGCGTTTCGAGCGAAGGCCCTGTGTTATTACTCTCATCATGTCGAGAACATTTTCCTGCCGAGACCAATTTGAATAAAACAAGGGGCCTTCCTTGAACTCAATCAAGGAGTCATAATGTGGTGGGTAATAGAGGTTGCTGATAGATTTGCAGGCAAAAGTGTTATACCTAATGATGGGATATGGATAATAGTCCTCCTGGAGGTCCTGATGCGATTCCAGTTGGCTGCCAGATGCTAAAAATCAAGAAGAGCATTGATCAGTGACAGGAAGCTGTAGTGGATTCATCTAGTCAAACTTCAGCTGGTTTTCCACTGTACAGTTAAGCCAGGCATAAATTATATTAATTGATTTAATTACATACTTAAAACATCTTCCCCAATTAATTTAATTAGGTGGCTACACGAAGCTACTGGCAGGGGAAGATTGGAGGCTGCTCACTTAATTAACAGAATATGAATAAAAAAAAAAAGAAAGCAAACATAAATGAAATTGTGAGCACTAATTAAGAAGCTGTCTGCAAACTTAAATACTTTCTGACAAAGTGGTGACAGGAATGTAGACAAGAGAGAGTTTTTTTTTTCAGCAAATTAAGTGCCACAAGGTATATATAAGGAACTAAGGTAATGCAGTTAAAACATTGATTTTCTGACAAAACTACTGAAGTCAAAACGAAGGGACGTTTTCAACAGAAACACCGCAACAGATTTTGCAGCCACAGAGGCTGAATTGCTGATGAAGGATGAAATATGATACTCGGACAAGTGTATGGTTAAAGGGGAAAAAAATGGAAACAGCTTATTGCAATCACTGAAGCAAGAGATGTTTAGAAAAGAAGTGCTGCTGTAACAGCTGGTAGCACCGCACACCTTGGCCCTGATGTAAAAATTCTCCAGGTGTCTCTGACGTGATTCCTTCAGGGTCTTTTTCACCCGTGCCACGTGATTACGCGAGAGCCAAGCGGCGGCGATCACACCTGATGCCCACTGCTGCTGCCTGAAACGGACGTAGGCTTTTCTGGCCCGGTAACATCGCCACATTGCTTGGATCTTCGTGGCGGCCGTTTCGGTACCCCCTCGGCCTTTGTATCTTTGGCCAGGTCGACTTAAGATCTTTTCCACAGCTGACTGATTCTTTATCACTGACAGAATGTCACTTTTGGTGGGATTCTCGTGAAGCTCAAAGTCCGACACGATTTCCGCCAACTTTTTACAGTCTATCGTAGCCAACGGTACAGCGTAGTCTTTGAGAAGCTTTTTTGTGTGTTCCAAAAAAAAGACAACGCTCCCCCAAGACAAACAATAACGTTGCTTGAAGGCCAGGAGGCCTGGGGCTTTCCAGTCTATCGTGCCATGGTAAACTGCAACGTCGCAGTCAAAGCGCGGCTCCTGTAAGGACTGACACAGAGACGTTTGCCGGGGCTGTGGGAAGAGAACGGCCACAGATTAAAAGTAATTGCCATCGATCGTAAACGCGTGGTCAAGACACAGAACTCTATTGCTATTTACAACTTAACTGTGGGAATTTATGCATCTGAAATACGCTCACACTGATTTACGCACCATAACCACCGTGTCTAGCCCAGTTTTACCATAAAATCCATCGCCACGCAGAGACCTCAGGGGTCATGCAAGATTATGAGCTTTTTTACAGAAATACAGTCATGCATAAGAGGAACTGCGCTGGATTTACCAAAAATAAGAAGTAAACTCTGCAGTGATTCCCTGGGCTACAATCGGAGAGTAAGCGCAGTAGCATTCTCCCACTCTGACCGCCTCCACCTGCCCCAGGAGAACGGGTAACATCCTGCTGTATAAATGCAAATGAAGTAAAATTTGGAATAGAAGTATTTCTGCCTCTTAAGAGAGCTCCATATTTACTGGCAGCTTTAGCCAACAACTCATTACCTCCGATTTTCAATCCAAGTGCGCTACTTTCAAACTACTTTTAAGTAACTATTTTTATTCACACTAACTCATTGATCTCCATTTCTCAAATGTGCTTTATTTCTGATTTTCAGATCTCCTCAACGGCACAAAAGTCAACAAGTTTGGCAAGATCAAGTAAAATTCCAGGCAGTTTGTTATGCACCACAACAATTAGCCATAAACCGAAAGAAATGTCCCTTTTGCATGGGGATCAAGAACAATCAGCAAGCATTAAGCAGTCAAGGTCAAACTCCCCTATAGTCTTCTGTAAATATAAAGGGAAGCACTACATTTGCTTAACTGCAGTGAGGGACATTTAGATGAGACATTTAAAAACTCTTTTATAACAGTAAAGATAGTTAGTTAAGCACTGGAACAGATGGCCTAGGGAGACTGTGGAGCTGCTATCACCGGAAGTTTTCAGAACAGGTTAGAAAAACATCTGTCTGCAATATTACAGGTACAGGTAATTCTGCCTGGAGGTCTAGATAACCTCCTAACATCCTTCCTAGACTTACTTTCTAAGATACTGTGAAAAAAAAGAGACAGCTAGAAGACTTGAGAAAGTAGAAACTGGCAATAGATGAAGTATTTCCTATTTTTACTTCAATATTTACTATTTACTGTTTCAAACCCTCCTGTACCAATTCAGTGATTTACAGTCACTTCCTAAACCATCTTCAGTGGAAACTGTTAAAAAGATGAATAAAAACCTCATTATCCTCACCAAATACCTGTGTTTGAGAGGGAACCTGCCATTCAGATTCCAACTGTTGAGCTGGATGTGTCCACACTGGCTTTGATTTCCTTGCTGAAACTGCGGAGCTGCTGGATGGAAGTGATGCAACATTACCTTGACTAGAGGAATACGTGCCATAAATTTCCTTTGTGTGTGGGAGGGTGATGGTGTCTGTATTCTCAGGGGTTGCCCTACTATTAATATCTCCTGTACAAAAAAATAAAATAAAATAGGTTTCATTGTTAGAAGAATGTAATAAGAGCATCCAATGGATACTCTACCACCTACTGTTAGGTACTAGCATGCTCCAGTTTGCTCTTGTGTCTAAGGTGGGTGCAACTTTCAGTTTTAATCTATAATTTTAAGTTTGTAATATGCCAGCCAAAAGAATGTCCAGTACAATAATGTCAAAATATTAGCACTTATACTCCAGGTTATCTCATATACAATTTAAAGGGCCTGAAAGTAAGGTTGGAGATACAGTTGATGGTTGTTATCAATCCTTTGCACTCACCTAGAGCTGATTTCTTGTGCTGCCTGGGAAATTCATGGAAAGGTGCTGCTTTGGATACAACAGGAGGTGACCGGAGAGCTACTTTTGCTGCTGGAGGGATCAGCCTTTGCTCAGTTAGGCTCGGAATACCTACAGGAAGGTTACATTACTAAACAATTCATACATATTCCAGCAATGAAAAACAATTAGTAGTGATAAAGAATTAAAGGCAGACCCAAGTTCTTCCAATTCCAAATCAAAAGTAGAAAAGCAGCAGTTTTATTTTATTGACAGATTCGTATCTTTCAATATTCAATATTTCATCTCCAGGGAAGGCGAGCTTTGCCTACATAAATTGACAAATACATGAAAGATATGGTAATGATTCTCATCCTGAGAAGGAATTGTATGCTTGTACAATGGCAATTTTATATGCGGAATGGATGAGAATTGACTCTCGTAAACCACAATATAATCATGTAACCATGAACACGGACTGATTGCTAAAACAGGTGCAGGTCTAGTTAAGACTGAATGATTAATAACTAGATGTTAATCACGACCATTTATTTTGACCACGCTATTTAGTCATACAAGAACCCTCCATCACACACAATTCTTCCTTCCAGTAGCAACCGAGCTCTGTGAATTACAAGAGAACTGACTCAGGGAGGATGATGCTCAACATAACATAGGCTATGCCCTGAGCCAGCTGCCACACGGAGTAAGTAGTCAGAAGGTGATCTCTACTCTTTCCAACGTTTGCGGTAACAACTCGTACAAGTTTTGAGGTGCCAGAAAATTTGATTACCAGAAAGCTGCTGTGAACAGCAAACCACGCTGGTTATGTAGCACACACCTGGTGGAAACAGTACCCACGTGGGCCTCCATCACTCACCTTTCGTTATATCTTCTTGTAACAGGGGTAAGGGAGAATCCCTGTAGCGAGGGGCAAGCAAACCCTGGCGGTTGCTAACTCGATGGCCTTTCACTGTCTTCTGACCGTGCATCTAGGAAGAGACAGAATCTTCTTTTAACAAAGAGAAATCCAGGATTTGCAAGGGCACATTTTTCTACTCCCACGATAACAAATAATAAATAAAATTTCTGCTATGAATAGTTTCATTAAGATTTAATAATGTACCAGTACAAGCACTACTTTTACTACTTATGAACATGCTACAATATTGTCTACTGTCATTACTTTAGTAATTTAAAATAAAGTTAATTAAATCCAATTGATGGCTTGTGACTTCTGCCATGCAAAAATCAGTGTACTAGTTAATAAGAGAATCACAAGAAATTTGCTCAATTTTAATGAGTACAGTGTAAATATATATTTCTTGACAGAACAATCTTTAAATATATAAAATGCAAACACAAGTTATCAGAAAGAAAAGGGAATACTTTCAAATATGTAAATAAATTCTCACTGGGAAGAATCTCAGTGGAATGAAAAACATGTGAAATGACTTACAAATAAGGGAACAGTAAGTATAACAGACTTCTGAAGTTTCAGGGTTCCTCAAGGACAGCAGGGAATGACACAGCCTGATAATGTGCTGGGGAAACATGTGCCACACCGGCTGTGCTAATGTGGGGATTAAAGCTCCCTTACCTCCCCAATTAACCTGTGCTTGCCTGAAAAAACGGAACCTGCTGGTTCTAAGTGCCAGGAATTCAAGCAGTGACACACATCACTTTGGGACAGCGATACCACGTGTCGCACTCTTAGCTTATTATTGCTCATATAGAGGGAAAAGAACATATTGCTCTCTTACGCTTCAGTATTATAAATACAAAAAATCTGTGTTATCATCTAGCTTTTTTTCCCTCCAGTATCCTGAGTATCTTCAGGTTTTTTCTGGCTAGGCATACACACACTGCTCCGTTTGCAGTGTGGGTTTTACCCGACTCCTGAAGAAAGAGAGCACTAGGCAGTCAGCGGGTTGAAAGCATTACAGCACACGCAACTTCAAAGCAACTAACACCCTCCAGATCTCTCACTTGATAGCGAACCACCACGAGCAGAAGATTGTGTGGTTTTCTCTCACTGGCTGACGCTAGGAAAATGAGACAACGATAAACCTAGAGAGACATGAAAGATGCAACTTGAATGTTATATGAAGCAAAAGGAAAACTTGGTTTAGCAAACCTCACTCTGTCAACAGAGTTTTGGAAGTCTAGATAAAGGTTTCTTAGTTTTAGCAGCTAAACTACCTAGAGATCTGGCATGCTCTAATATTTGCTGCTAAGAACTTCCTCTGCAACTCTGCAGCTTTAGAGGGTCTCCAGGAACTTTCATGCTTGGTTCAGGCACCACTAGAAGGAAGTGACTGAATTTGAGCAAATAGGGTAAATAAGTGCCAACACACAGGTATGAATCCATTATCAACCTCAAGAAGAAGAAAGGTGGTGGTTGAAGGGGCATATTGGGCCTTAGAGCAAACAGGAAAACCAGCAGGCAGACTGGACAAGGAAAAAGAACTGGCTTAGGAAAGACCATTGGGATGGGATGGGCAAAGCCCAGATATCTTGGTATTTTTGCACAACAGCTGGGCAAAGAGCCTGGTAGGGAGGTTGGGAGCCCGGCCCAGAGTCAGACGGGTGAGACTAGAATTGGTTCTGGAAGCATCTCCGAAGACGGCCTCAAGGAACAGAGAGACTGGGGCAAGACAAAAATGGGGAAAAGGGGAGACCAGGGCAGACTGAGGAAAAAGTAGCAGACAGGTTTGCATGCAAGGAGACACATCTCATGGTTAGAGGTTCTCACGTTGGACAGAACGGTTTGAACCCTACTGGTGAGCTATACAGAAGGCAACCTAATGCCATGCACTGGATATTTTTTTAATTTGCTTTTAGAAAAAAGTTCATTAAGAACGACGAACTACATTAAAATAATATTAAATACATAAAAATTAGAAAGCTAGGAAATACTGACAGATCTGCAAAATGAGAATAATGGTATTTACCTCTTTTATAGAGCACATTGGTTTAAAATACTAGGTTTCAATGACTGATTATCATGCTTGTGTACAGCTTTTAGTACAAGAAGATTCAGGCCACAATTGGCATCTTTGAACACTACTGTCATAATCAGTGAATTACACCAACCATCGACTTTATAGAAAGGGATCGGCAGTTCTAAAGAACTGTTTACAATCCTAATAGGGAAATGAGATAGATCAAAATAAACTGTTATAATTTTTCCTCCCAATTTGTATAATAACACTGTTCACAAGAGACATTAGATAGACAGAATATATGTACGCTTTATCATAATAGAGAATCTTTCAGGGAAATCATAGGTACTCATTTTAGCTATAGCCATTACAAAGCATTATGCTTTAAGGGATCTAAATGTATGAATCTTCATGTCCTTGTGTTCCAAGAAAACCGCAATAAGCATATAACAAAGATTAACTTTATACCAGCTCAGTCTCAGCCTCAGCAGTTTGTTGAGGACACAACAAAAATATAAAAAATGAAAGAAATTTAATTAAACAGTGACTCCCCTTATTCAGGCTATTGCTACTGCATCAGTAAAGCAGCACTGATTTTACCATTGGTTAGTTTTATCCCACTTTAAATCCCAGGAGTTTTGTTATGATAAACAGCACTATGAAACATATTTCATTTGTGTTCACAGAGATGTAATAAGCTACAAAGAAAAGCAATTCAGGTGGAGCGTATGAGTTCAAAAGCAGCCTCGAGGTTTTTTTGTTTGGTTGGTTTTGCATTTTTGTTGGTTTGGTTTTGTGTTGGTTTTTTTTTTAACCGGGGATTGAGATTTAATTCTTTGCTGCATACTTTAATTTCTACCAAGTCCATGGCTGGTGTCACCTTAAAATAAGGAATAAGAGGAATTATGGAGCCGACCCAAACCAGTTACCTACGAAAACTCTGGCCTCTCTGTACCCCCTTCTTCTATGTCCTTTAGCATCCGATCTGCTGCATTAGCTGCCCTCTTGTAGACCCCAGTGAGATGTCAAAGCAAAATTTGACAAAACATCTTCATCCCGCAGTTATTTGCACAAAAATTAAGCCAACTTAATTAAGACCTTAAAAGTAGCAAGAAGAATATTAAGTACTGCAAGAAGGTTTATTTTTAGCATCGTTACATGGTTTTATTACCACTATCCAGTGATTTAACTTAAAAAGATATTTAAGATGGCATCTTTTTAAAACGTTTTCAATGGACTTCTGTCTGCTTATGTCAGCACAATTTAATACCTTTACTCACACCTACAGCTTTTCTGGCATAAAAACAAAACCTGGCGAATTTAATACCACATACTGCACAACTGGAAACTCCTAACGAGCAGTTTTAATGTTTGTAGAGTAGACAGACCCAAACCTCCACAGAAGCAAAGGTTCATACCCTATACAACACCGACCTGCAGGCACCTCACTTGCTTCCTCTCCAGCAGACCCAAGCACCCATCACTGCTACAGGTGACTGAGACCTCAAACGTTTTCCTGAAGAATCGAGTCTTCCGGCAAGGTTTGTAACGCAGGTTACGATCGAGCACGTACAATTTACTGATGTCGGCACACAGCCCGTCTCATCACGGCTGCTTCTAAAGTTCAGTTTTACAGGCCTGGAAGGGAGCACTTCATTTGCAGCGCAAGCTAAGGCTTCCTTGCCTTAAAATATGCTTGGAGCGTGCTGAAAAACTATTTTTTCATTTCAAGCACTTCTGAGTGTAATTAACCTGGGACATGAGAAAAACAATTCTATTACCTTCTCTAAAGTGTTTTTCTCCTGTGGATAAACCTCTCCCACTTGATTTTTTTTTCCTTTTGCTTCATTTTAAATAGGGCACTTGTAACACCAGAGGGATTTTCCGATTAGTTCTCGATTTGTTTTCTGTTTACTAGACAGCAATATTTAACCAGAACACCTTTTTTTTTAAAACATCTTCATAAATAGGTTTTCCTCTCAGTAAAAGAATAGAGACTAGTATTAAACGGGGAGAAAAGACAAGCACTATCATGTATCAAAACTACAGTCTATCAACCAGGAAGATTATATAGATGAGATTTGGTAAGTAAATATCAGAAAATCACAGAGCTTGGCAATAATGGTAGAAAAGGTGTATAACAGAGTAATCTACCATTTCCTTATTATCTTCTCCAAAGTGCCAACCACCTCCATATTTTTTTTAAGACGTTCATAACAAGATTTGATGACACAGTTCATAATCCCGATGAAGGGGAGGAGGAAATGTAGCGAAATAAAATCAGTGGAACTAAGGTTGGTTTTCGATATGCTTGGGAAACTGGCAGGAAAGAGCTTGGAGAAGGGAAGTCAAACTGGGATCTCATTGAACTGCCTTGTTCCACGGATAAAAAGTACTAGAGAAACAAGCTCAAACTACTCCAGAGATGAAGCAGGATAGGAAGGACAGGAAATTATCAAACTTCATAAATCATGTGGTCTTCATTAACCGCAAAAGAAGAAAAAAGCATACGGAAGACAGAAAACGGGCATGTGGATGAGTGCTTCTTGTCTGTTTAAACAGGCAAGACAAAACAAGAAGTAGCAGGAAACTTCTGGGTAATAAAAAGTTACATCATCAAGTACATTCATAATTTGCATTTAAAAACCCCAGCTAGTTACAGGGAGAATCAACTCGATTGTAGTGTCAACAAGAAGAGGTCTGAGGCTACTTTAAGCACAAAACAGATCAGATGGTGCTGGGAGGTTTTGAAATGGGCTGGTCCTGATGAAATACACTCCAAAATACTTGAAGAACTGTCTAAAGCAGTCTCAGAACTGCTGGTGGCGTTCTTGTAGAATGGAAAATATACTAGAAGACTGGAAAAGATGTGCCTTAAGATTATCTTTAGTGGAAAAGTGCTGAACTTTAGAAAGGGACAAAGGATATGTTCAAGAATTCTAGCCCTACTGGTTTAACTACAATTCTTGGAAAAAGTCTTAAGCAAATAACCAAGCAAGGTAATTATAATCATCTGGAAAGTAATGACTCAAAGAGCAACTTGAACCCGTCAAGATCAAATTTGTCAGATCAATCTAATTTTTTTCTACAACAGGTTAGCAAGCATTGTGAAGGGGGGGGAAGAAAAAAGGTAAATACTACTCATTTTGACTTCAGCAAGGCTTTTGAAGCTATCTGGTCCCAATATTATATAAGCAAGCTAAGAAAGTACAGTCTAGACAAACTTTAAGAGAGGTAAAAAGCTGCTTGGGTAACTAATTCAGAAAGAATTTCTGTGTCAGTATGGAAGGATACTGTGAGGGTTCAGTGAGTCTGTCCCCTGAGAGTTACAAATTGACAGAGTCTGCTGTTCACACCGGAGGAGGAATCGAAATTTAAGCAACAGGAGAAAATCAGTTCAGATTGTAAGACACTCAAACAGAGCAAAAGCAGAGTGCTAAGTGATTTTCACTCTGCTTCAATTAAAGATTCAGACAAATAAGAGAAATGTTGGTCAGAAGGGATGTCTGTAGGACATGAAATCCAGTCTTGAGTCTGCTGCCCACAACAGATCAGGTCAGATTTGGTTCTGTCGAGATGAGAATTACTGTAGGATTTCACTGCATTTTATAGTTTCACAGCCTTACAGCCCTAATAGTCTTTGAAAGAGATTTTAAATACAAACAACTTTTAAGATGTCCGAGGAGAAAAATTGCATTGAAAATGAAAATTTGTCCTTCTCATTCTGGTTAACATAGTCCAGCATGTTATCCACCTAATGAATCACACAGTTTCCTTTACACAGAATACTAAGATATTAACGCAGATTGTTTCCCTCAGATTTTATTTATCTACAGAAAATAAAGTCCAATTTAAACCGAAAGCCCAACATTAAACCTTCCATACGGAGCAACCAGGCACCTATAACAACAGCTCTTATGTTATTCCTACCTACTTTAAGCTCTCAAAGTAACCCAGAGATGGCTCTGAAGTGTCAATTTTGCACGTACTTGGAGAAACCAAGCTTTGCTCCTTTTCTGGCCTACCGCTAGCTCTCCCAGAAACTTACCTCTATCACAATTCTGCCATAACAGGTGCAAAAGAGACTAGATGGAGAACTCCGGCGAATCCCACATCTGCTTTTTGAAAAAGGCGACAGAAGCGGCACAGAAGGAAGTACGAAAGATAATTGCTGGCTTGAACTACGATACATTTCACTTGTGGGCAAAGGGCCAGCTTACACGAGGCAGAATATGCAGGAGCGACTTATTGGAATTCAGGGGTGTCCGGAGACAGCTGTAAACCAGCAGCCCATAGCATCCCAATCAGGCACGGAGGTTTGTCAAGGAATGCTGATGTGTACAGAAACAGCCTCGGCAGCTTCGGCTGCACCCCTACCTAGCAAGCTGACAGTCAATCTCCGATTCCAGATGACAAGAACTGGATAAAAACTTAAAACAAATGGTGACCTTTCAAAAGATTAATTTGTTTACCAACAAAATGTTCTACGTTTGTCATGCGAGATGGGGGTGACCTTCACATTCCCATTTCTAGGTTGAAAGGATGCTGACTGTAGTCATCTGTTAACTCGATCTCACCAATTATTTCCCTTTTATTTTTAGCGACAAGAAGATTTTATGAATTCACTGTGCTGCTCATTATGATTAGACACCATAATACAAATGCAACAAGATTATTTTGAATTACTGTAGCGTAACATTTATTTGTTTAAGTCTTGTTGTGCTACCACCACCAAATTTTGACTGTAATTATGGCCACGTGCATAGGTTTAAAATGCTGTCAGGTTCAGAGGACCGAAAGACCTGGGTTGCTTCCACAGCTTCTAGTATCTTGAAAAGAACTGCCCTGTTTTGCCTTACTTTCTGATTTTTCAGCGATTAGCGTCAGTGATCGACATGATGGAAATATTGAATAATTTAAGCTGTGCTTAAAAAAAACCAAACCCCACCACAACCTAGAATCACTGCGATCGCCATTAGAGCCACACTATGTAAGATGCAACTCATAAAGGCTAGAAATCATCACCGTATTAAATTCTACCTCATGAATAAATTAAAAGGTTCCTAAGCCTACAGCATAATATACTTTTATAAGAAAACAAGGGTCTAAAAGTGCCAGCATAATTCTATAAAAGAACAGCAGTCCTATGCAAATAAAAGGTGTAGTTGTGAAACTTTTCTACGTTGCAGCAGTACATCAGAATTATATTTTGCTGAAATTCAGATTACTGTGTGTTTTGCTAGATACCCCACAGGAAGTATATACATATTTAATGGTTATCTGCCCATCAGTTTTGTTTGTTATCCAGAGGCAGGCTACAAAATAAAGCGATGCCCAGTCTGCCCATAGCGTTCCAAACGGAAACGCAGTCCTTGTTTTAAGATAACTACAGAACTTTAGAGAGGATGAAGCATTAGTTCTTATCACACCCAAAAAGGAACAAAAGGGCAACAGTTAATTGTTCTTAGTTTCTGCCAGGAAATCCAGCATCAGCAACTTTATAATACCAAAAGAGCAAGAAAAGATGACATTTTTTTAATGAAACAATGAGATCCTTATTAATAATTTTTCAGACTACTCACATGGTAGGATAATAAAGAGTCCGTGTAGATTTATGCTTGACCTATCTCGTCACCTCAACACCAGTGCGTTTTTAATCCCATCAGGTATTTAAATGCTTAGGTCTCCTTGAAAACTCAGTCGCTAACATCTCTTGGAAAAAACCTGAATGCACTTAACCAAGCAATTAGTTTTTAATTTACTTCAATGAAAGTCTTTCTGCCACTGGTTTTTTTTTTGGAGATAATCTTTGAACTTTTGTACGTATCTAGGGCACGAACACGGGTAGACACGTTTGTGCCCACATGTGTGCGTACAAATGTTGCCCTCTAATGGCTGATTAGTAAAAACAGGGTAGGTAGCAGCTAACTTAATTCTTGCAGCTACTTTGAGATTTTTTTCAACACTATAGACCATATAATTTTAGACCTGCAACTATGCATCGACTTGTTTTAGTGACTATGGGTGATCTATAACTATCACTCGCCTAAACATGATCTATACCAGCACTTAAGAAAAATACCTTAATTCACAGTCTCAGAGGTGGGTTTTGCAAGCTAATTGCAAAATTTTACCCCCTGTGAAGCCAGAAAATTTCAAAAACCAGACTATGTCATGGGATTTGAAAACTTCTAAAAAGCTTTTACTGAAGTAAATGTTATAGAATAAATTAGAGGTAGGAAATACCTACTTGATTTTCAGCCCATCTCCTTGTCCTAAACAGTTCTTTAGCAACTATAACTATGTACCAGAGAGCTTGACTAACTTACACTAAATGCTTGTAATTTAAGTCAATATTAAGAAGTTTTCTCTGATCAGTGTGCTCCAGCAAGAGTGGCGAAACACATGGCTCTCTGCAGCAGTATAATATTCCACTCTGTGAGTGTTTCTGAGCAGTTCTAAAAACCTATTAGCCGTGATGCTTTTTTCCTAATTAACTCTCTATCACTGGATTAGACAAATCACCTCTTAGTCTGGGCAACAGCTTTCAAAAATCATTTTTTATAAGTGGCAGCTTACAACTGTGCCATTCACAGATTCTGTTTCTGTGGTTTAAAACTGATACCCTAGAATGTCTCTTACAGCACTGGGTTTGCTTTCACATAAATTAAATTGTAGAAGGGCATCCTCATGCGAGAACATCGGGCAAATTCTTTCATGGGGACCACAGTGCTGTGCTACATCTTTGAAAATAATTGGTCTTTGGAGGGCTGCCTGTGGATATGAAGTTTTTTTAAAGGTGTATTTTACAGAAAATGTCATCGTCATGTTCATTTGTCTATTTAAGAGGAGCAGCAGTTGATTTGGAAGAGTCAAAACTTAACCTGTCACAACCTGAACATTCTCAGAGAGGAACAGAGAAGGATGATTTGATGGCCACTAGTCAGAGCGCTCTTCAGCAGAGTTCTGCAGAAATGCTCACTGTTTGAGCTTTGGTAAATAATTGTACCAAGGGAGACAACATGACTAGACATAAAAGAAAGACTTCTGAACGTGTCATATCTGGACTTTGAGGACATCTGGGATCTACAAGACCTAGAAATATCTCCATACGGAGAGGAAGGATCTGAACCTGTCCCTCGAATTCCAAAGAAAAATTCGACATTCCCTTACAAACCACATCAGAAAAACAAGATGTAAATGACACCTTAATTTACGTAGTCACTCTAGGATTCAGATTCTCTTTCAGTGTAACCTCTATTTTTTTTGATTGAGCAACACTGATTTTTGGTCGGGGTCAGCAATCACGTGGCAGGATTGCTTTTTCAAAAAATGTCAATTGAAGAGAGCATTGGAGCAAAGTACAGGCATTTTACACTTATTCCTAACAATCCTTCTATTAATTGAAAACAGAATGTATTCCTGTCTTTTAAAGAACAGGCCAGGGAACGAACAACCAGAAGCCCATTCCTGTCATCAAAATCCCTTTTACTTCATTCTTGATCTTTAGGTCACATCCTAAATTCCACAAACTCCAGTTTGCTTATCTTCCCTCTCTGATTTTCCCAAGATTACCGACCATGAACATTCCCATGTTTGCTTCTATTTTGCTGGACTGAGGTCTTGCTACCTAAGCCTGTTATGCTACAGGTTTGCTTTCCCCAGTACTGTCAATCGAAACGTTTTCATCACATCAATGTCAAGAAACGTAGGCAATTATGAGCTCCTTTCACTTCAAATAATTTTTTTATTTAGGTCTGATATGTATTAACTTTAATAGTGAAGAGTAATGCATATAATACATAAGTCTATAAAGATAATCCAAGTTACTTACAGGAGTAGATTTTCTCTTAGTTATGAGTGGCAGCCTGGTCTCATAGTTCTGTTTTAAAACAGCTTTGTTATCAACATCCTCTGCGTCAAGCATAATCTTCATATCCATTTCCACCTGCTGCTGAAACATATAATAGGCATAGTCTTAAAATAACTGCACTAGGACAGGAGTGTTTATAAGCAGGAATTGGCTAACGTGCTCATAAACATGCAAAATAATGATAAGAATTCACATTATTTGACTGTCCACACAGAACTGGGCAAACACTGAAGAATTGCTCACATGGAAATCTTAGCAAGGCATACAACAACTATTCACATCCATGCTTTCGACAAAATTGCTTCAATCAATTTCATGACAAGCTCTGAAATTTCCAAACTTGCACCGCTTTGAGTAAAGTGTGAGTGGAAAGGACAACCAGGTTCAGCTCGCTTGATTAACATAAGTCATTTGTGAATTCCATCTACCTGTGTTACAACAAAAGTTTTGTACACACCCTACCTACCGAGGGGGTATTATCCGTGCATTCCTCCCACAGACAATAAAAGGAATCTGAGCTACCTTGGCCACGTTTGCCAGAGACTTTAATTTAGGAATCACTGACCTGATGGACCTGAACAGCTTCTTTGGATCAGTTATGGCCCATTGCAGATAGAGCACTTGCTTCTAAGTAAATGAGAAAATAAAAAATCCTACTAGTACTAAGAATTAAAACATAGTAGTTTCTTAACGTACTATGTTATCTGAGTGGAATGGATTCAACTATTTTGCTAATAAAAATTATTAGGACTTAAATCCTGATAGACAGAAAAAGACTTGTAAAGTTTCCTGTTAAAAGAAGTATCCGAAACACATATTTTTTTCTATAAAAGCCAGAAGCAATGCCATGCATTGTTACCAGATCAGAAGTTTCTTAAGTTGAAAATATTTTGGTTCATCTTAATGCATGCACTTCAGTATCAAGCGTAGCAGGATCTCCCAATACTTTTATCGCAATAACGTTTGCTAACTAGACCCTGCGCCCAACAGGGATGATTTACCAACCAAGGCTGAAGAAGGAAGAATCCTCAAACGGCCAAAAACGAAGGTATCACCAGAGATGTCACCAGATGTAAGGTAATACAGAGAAGCTGGAGGCCTGGCAGTGTACGTGCTTCTGTATGGATGTGGGAATACAGAAAGCTCCCTTATATAGTAAGATCCAGCGAAACATGTTTATACACAAGAACTCCCTGCTGATACTTCTATTGCATGAATGTAAAAACAGCCTTATGAGAATTCTATTTTTTTTACAATGAAAACATGCCGCAAAAAGTTGGAGAATCATTAGACGTATATTTGAACTATTAAACAATCGTATTGCTTTGTGAAAGCACTAAAACCAGTTTAATTTATTTATCTGCACAATATATTATCTTCTTTTGATAGTAATTACAAGCAGATGTATCAATGAGATGCTCATTTAGATTTGGGGTTGTAAGAACAAAAGTTATTATCCAAGCCAATTACTCTTTTACCCACATGGCTGCACAGCGACAGAAAGTTCAATTTTCACCTAATCAGTGATTTTGTGGTATTTATTTTATTACTGTAATACACCACCATACAGAAAGGAAACTGCTTGTGCTATTAAACAAGAATTGAGGGGAAATTGAGTACCTGCTCAATTAAAACAGAAGGCTCTCCACTCAAACTGACAGTGAAAAGATCAATACTGGAGTGGCAGATTCCACACAAGATAAAAAGAATTGAAATGCTTAATAAAAAAATAACTAAAAAAAATTATAAAAGTTGCTTTGTCAGCTTAGATGCATAGCAAGTGACAGTTCTACATTTGCAGGAGCAGATGGTATCATGGGTCTCTTCCATCTATATTATCCAAAGTCTTAAATTTAAGCTATCTTGAGCCATCTTGATGCAGAATAAGAAAAAGATGAGAACAGCCAGGCAAATCGTGTATTACTACTAATATAACACTCAATGAGAATGGCAATTATTGTGCTCAGTGAGCACCAAGGAGCATACGGAACAGGTTGACATGTTCAGTACAGTTAAATGGTTAAAAATGTTTTTCCACTTTTACATAAGAGACATTTCAGAGCAGAGGGCAATTTTATCGTGTAATAAACAAACAAGTCTGATTCGCCGTGCAATTCTGTTTTGCAGGAGCACATGGTGCAGAGTTTCTAAGGAAGTCCAATTCCTTTATGAATGGACATTACACTAATCTTTGAAGCAATGTGTATTACCAGTAACTACCAGATCACTTTTCAACTTTTCATAGCTAGCTATTTGCTATTTCCTTATTCTGGAGTCTCCTAGAAACCTCCTTTCATTTACATCTTAAATTCTCCTAATAATGAGGGAATAAAACTTTTACTGGGTATTCAAAATGTCACAAAATCATCAACATTTTTCTAAAAGCAAACAATCCCAAATAACCAAAGCTGCACAAGCATCACTTCAGGTGTTTTCAATTAAATATGTTTAAAAATAATAATTATAAAATTGGACTTATACACCTACCAGTTACAGATAACAACAAAAAAACCCCAGAACTTACACAACTACCAGTCATGAATAACAGTCTTTAAGCCTTTGCTCTACAGAGGCTTTACAACTACTGCATGAGGAAAAACACCTCTTTATGGTTTTCCAGCTTTACTAGAAGAAATCCACTTACAACACATAGTATGGGAGAGAAAAAAAAAAAAAGAAAAAGGAGACAGTTTTGCAGAATTCCCCCTGTGAGCGAGATTTACAGAATCTTATTCGGCTGCTGCTATGACTCAGAAACACTGTATGTGTGAGTAAACAATAATTTTAAGCCTATTCTGACACCTGTGGGCAAGCTATTTCCCATATGACAAGTATTCTAGCAACGCATATGTGAAAATAGCATCTGTGCTTATTTGACTCCAACCTTGTTTTATCCTAACTACTACAAGCACAGCTTTTGCTCCATTTCTACTCTTGCACAGCGTACTACGGGCTGCAAAAATACTACTACGTGAATTACCAATTTCCCTCAGAGTTGAAACTTGGATTTCTTCAGGGCTATGTACTTGGAAATGCTCCCTGCAAATGGAGAACTATGAAGTTCATTAATATTTCTTTGGAGCCCCAATTTTGAACACCACAGAAGTGCATTTAAAAAACAACAAACAACAAAACCCGAACTGTTTATAGCTACAAGTAAGGAAAAGACAGAAAGTAAGGAATTGTGGGTGATAATTTCCCAGCTGTATTTCACACCTATTTACTAATAAAAGCTTTTTATGTTGGCATGCTGGGCATGTAGAACAGCTGGCAAAACAGCACTGCTTGCCATTTTCTTTACAATGGGAAATTAGGGCTAGCTTGTGTGTCACTGGATACGCATTTCCAAGCAGATGCCATCGATATCGGAAATGAAAAGACAAAGAGAACGTCAAGGCCGGACAGAACACGTGCTCCACTGTAAATTAAACTCATTGGTGCACATGAAGAGTCGAAGGACCATAAATAATACAGAGTTTACAGAGTAGCTGAACTCTGGTATTTTTTTTCCTCAACAACATAAGTGTATTCCTACAGCACGGGGGGGGAAAAAACCAACAAAGAAGAGACATCCCTGCACGTTTCCCATCATTTCAAGAGTAAGCACTATTTTAATACTACTTTATATCGGGACTTCTTTTACGAAGCTAATCAGAGTGTTAGGCTGCTCATTCTGATTATACCATTTCAAGTAGCTTCAATCCCTGGCTTCTGGTAATAGTCTTAGAACTACAGAGAGCCTCTTAAGGTTCTCTCTCACTCAAAGCTCCCTTGGATTTAAACAGTAATAACCTAAAATCATGACAACATGTATTTTTTTCAGTTCAACTAATTACCTTCATTTGTTTTTAAAATATGTTCGAGGCAACTGCCTTGAATGCACCACTCACAATTCACAGCTTAGAATAAAGAAAAAGCAAAAATATTTCAGATACAAGTATTTTGGAAAGGCTTTAAATGATTTTACATGGATTTCATTTACAAAACCCAGAAAGATCAGATTTCAAGGAGAAAAACTATATTCATCATAGAGGTGACTATCCTATACATGAGCAAAAGTCTTGCCCACAATTTTCTGTGTCATTTATGCAAAAAAAAAAAAAAGGGGGCTGAGAGAAGGCTTCTATGTCTCAGCTTGTTCATTCTACTGAGAATTTTTAACACTTTCACTCATAGATTATTTATTAGATATTATCAAAAACTATATCCATGTGGAGTCTAAACATAACATTATAGGATCAATCAGTAACCTACAAGACACAAGTCTACTCATTTAATGTGGTCTCTGGCAGAATAAGCAGTTATTCCAGACCTGTGAACCCGGAGAAACGCGTAGGGCTGATTTGCTGTATGCCTGGACGGTCACTGGCTCAACAGGCACTCGGGGTGAAATAAGCTGTTTCTGAGAAGCACCAAAATGAAGGCCCCTACGTTAGAAAGAAACAAGCAGTGAGGTTTCTAAAAATTACTTTGATTTTATCTGTTAAACCTGCACCGCTTCCACCTGGTTCAATATGAGAGATTGTGTTTTTATTTCAATTTGCATTTATTTAAGTTTTCCATTTAGAGAAGAATATCAAAAGAGCTAGCAGAAGGTAGCTGTAGCTACTTAGAACTGCATTGACTTTGTATTGGTTTTTTTAGTTAAAATTAAGATAGCAAATGACCAAAATAACCTCGTCTGGACCAATACTCGCATTTGCTTTACAAGATTCTGATCTTGCCTCTGCAATAAAAAAGCTGTTTCACTTACCATTTAGGGGGCTCTTTCGAATGTACTTCTTTATTATCAGTAGAAGAAATAGTTAACACTTGTCTGTTTATAGAATGTAAGTCATTTTCAGCATGTTTCTGTTGGAGGGAAAAAATATAATGCTTAGACTATTACAAAGGTATGAGGAATATTCAATTTAATTAACTCAGTTAAGTTAGCAATCCAGATCTTTGCCTGACTGAAGAGTCGACAGGCTTCGTGCATCTGCTGGACAAAATCTCATTTTGGCTAATGGGCACAAGACCAGTTAATTCTGATAACCCAAAAAAGAAAGCCATCATTCTGAACCGTAATGTCCAATGAATCCCATCGTTAGCAAACGATGGGATCTTGCAGGATGACAAACATGTGACCCTGTGTACTCCAAGTGAATTCCCGACAGAGATCTCAAAAACTGAATCGTCGTCTGGATCTGCTCTATTTTACTTACTCTCAGCTCAAGTTCAGTTCTTGCAATCGCTGTTTCGAGGTCGCTAATATCCACGGCTTCTACATTTCTTCTCAGGTTGGTATTTTTCACTTTAAGCTTCTGAAGGTCTTCTTGAACCTAAAAAACAAGTTATGACAAAAATCATACCCGTAACCAATACCCAAGGGATGACATAGCAGGATTTATCCGAACTAAACACTTCCTAAATACAGAAAAATAATACACGTGACTTAACTCACACTCCTGTATTGTAGAAGTAAGAGAATACAAAACCGATGACTAAAGTCATTGATCGTAGAAAACCTGAAAAAAAGTGATTTTAAGAGAACCTCACAACGGCAATAAACAGAATCATGGAACTGCCTAGATTGGAACAGACCTTTAAGCACAACTTCAGGACTGAGGTCCCTTGCCAAGGCACATTTTGGACATTTCCGAGGCCCAACTGGTTTAACCCCTCGGGAATCTCCAAAGTCTTAAACGAGCAACCGAAAAGAGGCAGCAAGGGGAGGTCACGACGGCCCACATCGAAAATGTGTTTGGTTACACTGCGTTAAGCCAAAAAAAAAAGCTCCAGGTCTCGTTCCATTAACAACCGAAAGAGCCCAA